ACATAACATATACATATACATATACATATACATATACATATACATATACATATACATATACATATACATATACATATACATATACATATACATATACATATACATATACGTATACATATACATATACATATACGTATACATATACATATACAAATACGTATACATACACACACACATACACATACACACACAAATGCACATATAGCATGATCTCAGCAGCCATTAATACACACCTATGACCAGCCACCACTCGCACAACATACCGGTGTACACCTCCTCGCAGGCTGACTGGTAGTGTTCCAGGAGGTCACACATGATGCCCATGATATCGCTCTTAAACTCAGGCAACTGCCGCACAATGGCCTGTAGATCGTCCTGGATGCATTCAACTACGACAACACTCTACGGATGTGTATAACAACGGGCAAAGGAGTGTGTGAGCATGCAGAGAAGTACATGTGGACATGCATATGCATAGGAACTGCCTACTGGGGTACGTAGGTAGATGTAAGGTAAGGAGTAATAGGAGTGTATTTTGGAGTTTAAAGTCTTAGGGTTTTATAGACATACCTTCACCAACAAGCTCTTTTTATGTCCATTGGAATCTGAATTCAGCCCACCGACAACGGCGAATGCGTCCGGATCTACAAGGAACGGCCAAAGGGACAGACAATGTCAAACGTTGACGTTAGCAATATCTATAATATATATATATATATATATATATAATAGTGCACACTGTTGATACTCCCAATAGAAACGAGAATACTACACACAGATAATACTACACATAGTAATCAGCGATAATAGTACACACAGATCAGCGAGAATACACATAGTCACTGGGGTGTACCTTCCACGGCCACTTTGAGTCTGTCCAAACTCTCGTTGCGAATAAAGTCCAGAAACTGCACCTTCCCAAAGTTAGACATGAACACCTGCAGCGGAGGCGCGTCCCTGAGCCAGTGGGTGGGCAGCGATTGCATGAGAATAAGAGCAACGCAGATGAATGATGGCACGTGGCAGGGTTGATATGATGCCCTGAAAGAGCATGGAGTAGGTACGGAAATGGAGAAAAGGACAGGTGTAGACGAAGGAAAGAGGAGACACACACACATATATGCGCATGCACACATACACGCATAAGCGCATGTGCACACACATGCGTACACGCATGCACACACACACACACACACACACACACACAAGAGACACACACATACACGGACGGGGAGTGGCAGCGGGCCTCCATCTCCTTGCAGAAGGCTATCACTGGCTTGTAAAAACATGCGAAGTTCAACGGACTCGGGTCACAGACCACCGCCCGAGACACGCCCCCCCCCACACCATTGCCGCCGACTGTGGCCGCAGTGGTGTGGGGACCAATCAGATTCTCGCGTTTGTTGGGGTCGGAATTTACGGCGAATTGACTGGACGCGAAGCGGAAGAGTGTGCGATTCTGCCGGGAGGAGAAAGGAGTGGCTAGACATTTGATACATGGTTTAGAGATAGGTTTGAAGCATTTTCAGGATTTTGAGTGGCTGCAGTGGTGTGGGGACCAATCAGATTCTCGCGATTGTTGGGTAGGAATTCACGACGAATTGACTGGACGCGAAGCGGAAGAGTGTGTCAAGTTAACTCAGAAAGCAATCGGCTGATACCTACGTGGTTGTGCGTGGAAGATAGAGCGTTATTGAAGCCGTCACGGTACCTACCCGCAGTGGCGTGTGGGAACAACAGGCAAGTCATGCAGCAGTATCATATTCACACACGCCGATACAGTTGGTTAGTTTGGGTAGGTACACTATACAACCAGTGCAACAGATACAGCCATGAAGCAGTATCATATTCACACACGCCGTTACCGTTGGTTAGTTTGGGTAGGTACACCATACAACAAGTGCAATAGACAAAGCCATGCAGCAGTATCATATTCACACACGCCGTTACCGTTGGTTAGTTTGGGTAGGTACACCATACAACCAGTGCAATAGATACCCAATGAGGCGACGAAGCTATGTAGTTCGTCGTACTGTTTTATTCACAACAACCAACAACCACAACAGCCCATGGGACACTCATTCGACTCATTCGCAATGCTATTCCACTACAGCACACGACACACACACAGGCGTTGATATAAACATGATATACACATCCACATCACAAATGTGGTAAACGTGTGAGAGCTTACAGTGATCCAAATACTCTGCCACCCACTCGTGTGAAGCATAGCAGACCTACATGGCCCAGCTCACTCACTACAAGATTCAATCACCCAACTCACTCACTACAAGATTCATTCACCCAACTCACTCACCACAAGATTCATTCACCCAACTCACTCACTACAAGATTCAATCACCCAACTCACTCACCACAAGATTCAATCACCCAACTCACTCACCACAAGATTCAATCCCAACTCACTCACTACAAGATTCAATACCCAACTCACTCACCACAAGATTCAATAACCCAACTCACTCACTACAAGATTCAATCACCCAACTCACTCACTACAAGATTCAATCACCCAACTCACTCACTACAAGATTCAATCACCCAACTCACTCACTACAAGATTCAATCACCCAACTCACTCACTATAAGCACACGGAACAGCAACCGCACTCTCATTTAGTAAAATACACTCATACCGTCGCACTACTCAAGCTACTATTATCAGCCAACACGAGACTACAACCAGGACTACAACCGGCCTTGATCTCCGTATGGGTGAACACGTGCGCACAGTGACATGCGACTGACGGCTGTGGGAGATACCTTTGCGCCGCTAGCGGAGAAGAGCTCTTTCAGATCGAACTTATCCAATTCCGAAATCGATTGGCCTCTTGCACGGCCTATTTTTCTTCTGCAAAGGGGGTCATTAGGAGGGCTCAGAGATGGGATAGCATGATGTGAACATAGAAAATACGCATAGAATAAACTATAGATAGAGTGATGCGCGGCCTATTTACTTCTGCAAATGGGGCCATTAAGGGGGCTTAAAAATGAGACACCATGAACTAAAAACAGAAACACACCATAGACTATAAATAGAACAACGCGTGTCTATCTGACCTTCAGTACCAAACACTACATGAACTATAAATAGAAATATGCATACCATAAACTATCAATAGAACAACACGTATCTATCTGACCTTCAGTACCAAACACTACCCGAACGCACACGATGGAACTCCATCAGGTGAACCACACAGTCGATGAAACATGTGTGTGGCTAACGGTGTGCATAGGAACACGCACACATACGCATTGCCTGACTGTGGGTTGCCCAGGTACTCCTGAATGAACTCTTGCACCTATGAAGGAAGAGGAGGCACACGCGGTCAGCAATGACCTGTTATGTGTATAAATGGCACTCCCCAACTGCACGTATGGGCATATATGCGTAGGTATAAATGGATATGTATATGTATTTTCATATACAAGAATATATGTATATATAGCCGTATATAAGTACATAGTTATATATGCCTATATAGGTATATATGCATATATAGACATATATTCGTGCATAGATATACATGCATATATAGGTATATCTGCATATATGGGTCTATATGCATATATAGCTATACATACATAGATAGGCAAACATGCATATATAGGTATATCTGCATATATGAGTCTATATGCATATATATACATGCATATATAGGTATAAATGCATCTTCAAGTATATATGCGTATGCATACCTCGTTTTGAATGGCCAGCCACACGTCCCTGTCACTGACAACCAGTGAGGTCTTCCCTCCCACAGTGATAGATGGCCCTGGCGCCACTTTGACAGTCCCTACTTCAGTAGGCTCAAACTCACCCAACTGTGTGTGACGTAGGCAAGTGAATGCACAGAATATAGTTAGAGGAAGATGGTCACCTATGTGTGTATGTGTATATGCAGTAGGTAGGAATATACTTTGAGGAATATGATCAACTGTGTGTGTATGTGTATATCCAGTAGGCAGCTGAATGTGTATAGTACAGTTAGAGCAAGATGGTCACCTATGTGTGTATGTGTATATGCAGTAGGCAGGTGAAATCGTATAGTATAGTTAGAGCAAGATGGTCACCTATGTGTGTATGTGTATATACAGTACGCAGGTGAATACGTATAGTATAGAAAGAGCAAGTTGGTCACCTATGTGTGTATGTGTATATGAAGTAGATAGGAATATACTTAGAATAAGATGATCAACTATGTGTGTATGTGTATATAAAACCGTCACTCGAATGTCTATGATGTTAGGAGGGGTATGGGTAACTGAGTATGCAACGAAATCTATGAAAAGGAATCCATAGGTACACATATATATGTAATATATACCTGCATTGTAAGTATACATATAGCATTGTAGGTATACATATAGCATGTAGGTACACATATATATGTAATATACCCATGCATTGTAAATATACATATAGCATTGTAGGTATTCATATAGCATTGTAGGTATACATAGAGCATTGTAGGTATACATATAGCATGTAGGTACACAAATATATGTAATATACCCCTGCATTGTAAATACACATATAGCATTGTAGGTATACAAATAGCATGTAGGTACACATATATGTAATATACCCATGCATTGTAAATATACATATAGCATTGTAGGTATACATATAGCATGTAGGTACACATCTATATGTAATATAGGTACACATTTATATGTAATATACCCCTGCATTGTAAATACACATATAGCATTGTAGGTATACAAATAGCATGTAGGTACACATATATGTAATATACCCATGCATTGTAAATATATATATAGCATTGTAGGTATACATATAGCATGTAGGTACACATATATATGTAATATAGCTACACATTTATATGTAATATACCCCTGCATTGTAAATATACATATTGCATTGTAGGTATACATATAGCATGTAGGTACACATATATATGAAATATACCCCTGCATTGTAAGTATACGTATAGCATTGTAGGTATGCGTATAGCATTGTAGGTATACATATAGCATTATAGGTAC